TATGGTTTTATACAGACTAGCCGAAGGAGCACATGAAGTGATCGAGGCATGCGAGCGAGTATGTCTTAATGGGCTTGGATCTATCACTAGTGGAAATAAGTGAAGGAAGGGAGAGGAAAAGGAGGAAAAGGAAGAGAAAAGTGAGGAGGAATGATGAGGAGGAAAATACGAGGACTGTCAAGCTTGTGGCTGTGTCCGTGCCGTACACAGTCTACATACTTCGAGTCAGAACTCATCATCCGTAGCCTGCTGCTCGCAAAATGACCAGCGGGGTAGTTTTGTTGGTACATTCTACAGGGCACCGGGATCGTCTATTGACTCGAGGGGTGTGTAGGGCCTGAGACTAAAGCGGAGAAAGGGTGGAGGAAGATGGATGGATCCCATCGACGACATAAAAGCCCCATTACGCTCTATTATGCACTTTGCTCAATGTCTAGTATGATCCAGCTCCAGATACTCTGCATGCACGCATCCAAATAATAACTGCAATGAATATGGCTAGTGCGCACACCCGTATGACATATACGGCACGGGTTACAGAGCGGCCAGGAACAATGGATACGTGCAAGTAAGTATGTGTTAGACGAGGGACTGAATTAGAGAAGGAGAAGGAGGATGAGAGGAGATTCGAGAGAGATCAGATAATGAATGAGCCGGAACGCCGGTACAGGATTCTCACGTCTGATCGACCAAAACCTTAGCAAGATTTGAGTATATCTTTCCATTTACTTATCCGCGAGCACCGATTTGACTTGGATTCGGAGAAGTAAATTGAAAAGACCAATTTATAATCATATTGATACTCAAACAGCCTGAAGAGATAATATATCGCCATCATCGAGATTCGATAGTAATCAAGTAATAATATTTAAGCAAACCCTTAAACGAAATATGCTTCGAGCCCCTTCAGCTGCCTGAGCAATATACGCTATGGGTATAGATTTAATATAGGACAGTGACCGGCGTCAGCTTCAGCGGTTGCGTCAGCCTTCGGAAAGAGTGAAGGTCTCGCCAGCAGTGGAGGAACCGGTAGAACTCGGGCTTATAAGAAGCGATGTGGGTATACCAGCGGACAGCGTTAGTACCCGAGCCGAGAGCGTTGTTCAAGGCGGTGACATTGGCTTGGGAGGGAGTGTACGGCTGAGTGTACTTGGATGGGGAAAAAGTGCGGTCAGATACAATATCGACGAAGGAAATCGACACAGAGAAGAGAAAAAGATCAGATAGCTAGGTTAAGTTGGTTGTCGGCATACTTGGGTGAGGGGTCTTAATCCCTCAACTTGGAAACACGGACCATAGCGTTGTAATCATTATATCGAGGAATATAGCGAAAAATATGATTAAAAGAAAAACTTACCCTTAAACGAGGAGGCGGGCTAGCTTGATGTGCACGATGCGAGAGAATCCATAATAATGTGCAACAGCGAAATTTGTGCACTCTCATTTCACGTAAGTATGTCGCGTCTATGCATGCCAAATGCACACGGGGTTACAGAACCTCCAGAAATAATCGACGGACGCGTGCAAGCAAGTGTACATTGGGTTTGGAACTGAATCGGATGAGAGGAGGAGGCGGAAGGAAAAAGGGGGGAAATTGAGTTTGAATACCGCATGGATGACCCGGGATGCTGGGACAGTATTCGCACGTGTAATGATGGCTTGGCGCGATCATCCTGCTTACTACAGCCTTACTAATACCAAGCCTCAACATCCGATAAGCTTACTCAAAGCTTACTCAAAGCTTACTTCATCTTTATCTTTCGCGTAAAAACTAGCGTAAGCACGATGAGAATAACCGTTGGCTCTATTTGGGCTCTATCAATTTCAAGCTCTGGCTAAATCTATAGGCGGCTCATGGACCGAACTTCTCTCTATCGCAGCTGCCATGGACTAGGTTCGCTCCAAGTGTAATTTCAAACATTATTTCTCAGAGACGGGCCCAATACAAAGCATCGACGTTCGTTCTAAGGATGTACATATGTACACTGACCAATCAGGACTATGTCTAAGTATGGCTGGTGTGAATATTATTGGCACTCTTTGGTAACTTCAGCTCCGCTTTCATATAACCTCCATTTCCCGCCCCATCCTTTTGGATGCAATGCCTGAGAGATAAACCAGGAATCACGCAATCGTGAGACGATGGTCCCGATCATATAAAAACCATGCTGGGAACATATCGTTACGCAAACTGAACTACGATGGCCCCCAAGGTTACTCTCTTCACAGATGCTAATGGCCAGACTCCCAACCCTAAAAAGGTTGCCATTCTCCTCGAAGAGCTCGACGTAGAGCATGCAGTAGTGGTGAAGGTAATACTAGATATGTATGTATATTAGGCCATCGTTGACGTCGTTTTGCCTAGGACTTCGGTAGCACTGATCCTATTAGGGGTATGAAAGGCGAGGAGTTTTTCAAGGTTAACCCGTACGTATAATCATATGCAATTTATAGGATTTTCTAATTTATTTGTCGACTCAGTAATGGCCGTGTTCCTGCTCTGGTTGATCACACCAATAACGACTTTGTCGTCTGGGAATCTGGTGCTATTCTCGCCTATGTTGCGGAGCGCTTTGATCCTAGTGGCAGGTTGCTGGGCAAGACTCTCGAGGAGCGTGCCGAAGTCAACCAGTGGCTCATGTTCCAAGTAAAGGACACTTTTCTGCCCTCAGTATACCTTGCTTAGCACATTTTGCAGATGTCCGCCCTTGGCCCCATTCAGGGCCAGGTCTTCTGGTTCAAGTACTACCACCCAGTCAAAAACCTCGACCAATCCGTTTACGATCGTTACACGAACGAGGTCTACCGTATCTACGGTGTTTTCGAGAAGCAGCTTGAAAAACACGACTGGATTGCTCTTGATAGGTTCACCATTGCCGGTAAGCACCGATAAAGTTAAAGATAAGAGATAGCTAAGATAGATGATGTCATCATGGTTTTCCTTTCAGATATTGCCAATTTCCCCTGTAAGTTCTTTTCCTTTGTGGAATGTCAGTGGAATGTCGGTTAAATATTGCACTGTGTAGGGCTGAGGGCGTACGAGTTCGGAGGACTTAAACTCACCAACTTCCCGAAATTGGCGGCATACATCGAAAGGATTAAGGCTTTGCCATGTATCGCCGGTATCGAGAAGCATGCAGCTGCAGCTGCGGCTGCTGCAAAGAAATAAGTTTACTATAGAAGCAATGTCAGTTAAGGAGTATAGAATTCTTTTGCTGGAATGATTCTGAGATTCTTCAATAACATAATCGGTACATATATGACATATGGCATAAATATTTGTGGTCAAAATTAGTAGTAACCAGACACCCCACACCAAAACGTAGTACTGCGGTGGCGTCTGGTTCTGTTATTGGATACAGGTATATGCGAGGTCAATCCATTGGTTCAACGGCGGAGGAAGAAGAGGGAGCCTGAGAGAGAGAAAGAAGTGAACGAAGGAGCCAGAGGAGCAGGACGGTAGGAGGAGAAATAATATCAGATTGTATACCTCAAAGGTTGCAGTTCTGCAACGTTAGTAGGAAATTCAAGTTTAATTGATACTACTAGTAAATGTCCCTAACCCGAGCCTGACTGGGGGTGAGCAACCAATTAATACCAAATGTTATGCTCGAATACAATTAGTTATATCGATGATATCAATAGCAGGGGCAAAGCTCCCGATCGATATCGATGGGTTCAAAGGTGGACCATTATTATGATACGAATAAGGGTATCCTTGATATATAAGAATTACTTCCAATTCTGAATACAAAGATGTCACTGTCATCCTATCCGCATATTCATTCATATTCGTAATAACGTTTTTCTCCATTATTCCTAATAAAATTGAGCTTTTGAGAGAACATTGCTCGTATACATTTAAAATAATGGATTCACTTTCTTCCTCTTGCGTCTGGTTCGCGGAGACAGCCGTGTCAAGTCAATGAAAAAGAATGGACAAGCGGCGAATTGAACGCCGGACCTTTCGCAGCGGTCTGAAGGCTCGCAATGACTTCTACAGAGTGCTAAGCGAATGTTATACCACTAAACCACATGCCCATTACGATCATTCCATTAAAAATGGATAATGATGGCTGATAAACCCCCTTTTATCTTCGCACGCAGCTGGCCTGACTTAGGGTGGCGGTAACCCTAACCCCAACACGATCCCACCGGCGGACCAATCAGCAACCTGGACTGCCAAAAATAGTTCGACGCGCTCTCTTTCCTCTAACTCGAACCCTCTTAAGTTCTCCCTCGACGAACTCGATTTCACATTCAGCTAGCGAATTTCATTTTTCGCCTTGCAATTTCCACCTCTCGCTTCCTTCCATCGCTACACCAACTGTGAACACTAGGTACTTTCAGTCCTGAATAACGTTGAA